TACATTTTATTTCCATACAACGCTGTCCGCGCAAGTAGGTCTCGGCCGCTTTCGTCGCGTTGCGTACAATTCCGCGAATACTCCAATTAGCGTTCTCCTCCGATACTCCCAATCCGCTTCGGGATTCGGGACTCGCGGGTGCGCGCGTACCTCCGCCCCTGCTCTCGCTCCTCCGAGCCGGTGGTGGTTTACTCGCTCGGCGTCAGCCCGCTTCTCTCCACCCGCCCCCTTTACCAGCGCGCGGGGCCTCTCTGTCTGTCGCGCGCGCGAGGCAGCGCGTCGTCCGCGTCGCGCGCGCGGAGCCGCGCGGAGACGCCGCGCGCTGAGTCGAATCGAGTCGGGTCGAGCCGCGCCGAGCGGTGCCGAGCGGGACCGAGCGCCGGGGTCGAGCGGAGCCGAAGGCTCCCGCGGTGGTCGCCGCGTCGTCGCGACGCGCGCGAGTAGCACCACACCGCCGGAGCGTGTGTGTGCGTTGCGTGCGTGCGCGCTCTCTGTCCGCTTACTACTCGCTCCGTTCCTCCTCGCTCGTACTCTCCTCTGCCCGGTCGTAGGGAGCAGGAGGCCAGCGCAGGCCAGCGCGAGAGAGTTGTTATCGTCCTCGTGCGTGCGCGCCCGCGCGCGTGTCTCATCAGCGTCAGCAGCCCTAAAACGTCAGCCGCCACGGTCATCGTCGTCGTCGTCGTCAAAAACGTTGCTCCGTCGTCGTTATCTTCGTTTTTTGGCCCGAGGTCTCGTTTAGTCGCGTGTGTACGCCGCGTCCTTCCCGACTGGCCCGCGCGCGTGCATGGACGACACGCGCGCACGAGCCGACGAGGATATCATAGCCCTGGATTCGTCCCGCTTACGCTCGTCCGCTCGGCTCGGCTCCGCCGCGAGCATCGCCGCCGCCGCCGCCGTCACTGCCACCGCTGCCGCCGTCGCTACTACAACCACCTCCGCCACCTCCTCGGCCGCCGCCGCCACCTGCCGCGTCGCGAGACGCAAGAGGAAGAAGAGGAGGCGTCAGCGACTCGCTACGAGCAACGACGACGTGCCCGGCGTCGCTACCACGTCGACTGGTAACGCCGTCGTAGCTGAGGATCCCGTCGCGACCGACGCTGCCGACGCCGTCGTCATCCTCGAGCCTGACGCTGACGCCGACGCCGACGCCGACACCGACGCCGTCGCGAACGCAGCCACCGGGGAGACAGACCCAGCGGCAGCGCGGGTCGATAAACTGAGGAGCCGCCTCCTCGGCGAGCAGCAGACCGCCGGTGGCGGCGGGGAGGGCCAGCAGCAGCAGCTACGCGTCGGAGGAAGCGGCACGCGCGCGGCGGCCGCCTCCTCCGTCGGCACCACCGGCGTGACGCATCTTAACCGACGCGCCGGCAAGCGCTCGCCGAGGCGATGCAACGCCGGCGGGCGTAGGAGCGCGTTGACGATGGACCTACAGCGGCTGATCAACGAGGTGCACGCGAGGCCCGCGATCTGGGACCAGAAGAACGTCAACTACCACAACCGCGACGTCATACTGAAGATGTGGCGGGAGATCGCGAGGGCATGCGAGGTGTCGAGTGAGTATAGGGACACCCGGGTTCCCCCCGGGTTCCCGTCCCCGGCCCCGCCGTCGACGGACGATGCTCTCCTCCTCCCCGCGAATTCACGGATATCCCTGCGACCTGCGTTACGCGATACGTTTGCGTTTGCGTACATGTTGCCACGCACGTGCACGTGTGGGTGGTTGCTGGTTGCTGGCGAGATTGGTTGGTCGCTCGACGGGTGGGTGGGATACGCTGGGTACGAGCGGTACGAGTCGATTGGTCGCCAGGTCTGTACTCTGTACAATGTATGTATGATCGTACGAGCACTGCGACCCTGAGGTCGTTCGAGATATCTCGGTATGCGTAATGCGTAATGCGAAATACGAATCGAGACGAAGGCGGACGAAATCGTGGAGGAAAGGGAGAGAAAGCGAGAGAGGCGTCGGTAAAGATGAAGAGTCGAGCGGGTTTCGCGATCGCGGAGCCGGGCGCGGCGCGGCGGCCGAACGCGAGCGCGGACCGCTCGCTGGAACCGCTCACCGCTCCGCTCGTCCGGAAGGTCGATAGCTTGCGAAAGGAGAGATAGGCTGCTAGTTCGCGCGGATCTCCGCCAGGTTGCACGCCGATGCCGCGGGATACGCGCGACGGGTTGGCGCGGGTTTCCTTCTTTTTTTTCCTTCGCGAGCGTGTTTACGAGTTACGACACGATTGCTCGCGGTAGCACGTGCGCGCGGAACGCTAACACGCCTGTCACGACGAGCGAAAGTAATGCCGATAGTAGGATAATAGTCTAGGAGAGAGAGATGCTTCCCTTAATGCTGAAATGATTAAAATAATTAAAAAAATAAGTCGAACTTGATTGATCCCTCGTTAACAAATATCTATCATTCTAATTGGTTACGAATAGAAACTTAGCAATTTCAATTCTTTCATGTATTCACTTAGATATGATTTTTACTCCAACATCTCGTCGCTAAGGCCCGGTCTACAATGGATGTCGGAAGTCGGAAGTCGGAGTCGTAAGAAATTGACCAATCACAATCTATTATTCTCCTTGCGGTCGAAGAATAATGAACTGTGATTGGTCAATTTCTAACGACTCCGACTTCCGACATCCATTGTAGACCGGGCATAAATTGGAGAAAAGTTCAACGAGTACCTAGCTGCTAAATTTTGACGGAATTATTTCGAGGGTAAAGCTTTCGAGGTTTCGGAGTAGGTCAACGATCGTTCGTCAACGATCGTTCCAAGTTTCGCACGTAAAGACGTGGCCCATCGCTCTGTTCCAGCGGATGTCGCCAAGTCCAAATGGAAACACCTGCGTGACAACTTTCGGAACGAGCTGAAAAAGACCTATCGGGGCAAGTGCGACGGTATCGGCGGCACCGAGCACGACTCCAAGTGGGTCTGGTTCAAGAGCTTGTTCTTCCTGCGGGACCAAATGAACTCGAGGGTGATCGGCTGCGCTCTGTCGCAGAACTGCGTGGGCGCGACGGTCGGTATGCGCTCGTCGCCGGACGGCACGCAGATCGAGCCGCAAATCGATATTCTCGAGGGCCACGAGGAGACGCAGTTCGACGACCTGGACGGTGACTCCTGTCAGTCGTTGCTGTCCAACGATGACGGCCTGCATCAGGTGATGCCGCCGCCGAAGATGAACAAGATGATAATCGGTCGGAAGCGGGCGCTGATGGACGCCCTCGAAAACGATTACGGCGTGGAGGTGGATCGAAAGCGGTACGAGTCGCTGCAGAAGAGACTGGCGATCGGCGCCGAGGACGAAGACGATACCTATCACTTCCTCATGAGCGTGCGAAATCCCCTGAGGAGCCTGCCGCTCGACCGGCAGATGTTCGTACGTCTCAAGATTCAGGAGTTGGTCTACAACGAGATCAACTCGCAGAATCAGCAGCAGCAGCAGAACGCGAGCCGCGGGGTCTACGACGCTTCCTCGCAGGGCCAAGACGTGAAACCCCCCCGCGCCGGTAACGGCGGCAACGGCGTCGTCGGCGGCGACGTCAGCGACATGTCGAATCCGGCGTCGTTGCTGCAGAACTGCACGCCCGAGGGCTCCGGCGATGACGCCTTCTTCGGCTGACGAGAGCCCGTTCGCAGTTTAATTTGCTAATAGACGTAAGGATTATAATTTTAATAGAGAATAAACAATGGTATTTTTTCAGTAACGTTCGCGCAATATCTTGGCACGTTTTTTTCTTCCCGTTCCAATGATAATCCCACCTCCGATCCGATTCTACAGATTCTCTTTTTT